TTTTTTTTTTTTTTTTTTTGAATTTGATGACTTTTTTATTCTAAATTTCCTTTTTTTTGTGACAAATAACATGTCATAAAAATATTTAACTGACTTAATTATTTATAACAAATCGAATCGGATTATCATCGGATCAAATTGACTTATATCCATAATTGCACCATTTCATTACAGGATTATCGGATTCGAATCTTGATCGAATTATCGGACTAAGACCCCAAGTTCATCTCCCATTAATTTCATTGGTTTCAGATCGAATTTGGATCAAAATATAATCCATTGTATAAACATGGATGTGGAAGCCAAATTGCTAGGCCTTATTCAAGGTAAATTATATGGGTCCCACCGTACCCCCAACTTCTCAACAATACTGCATATACAAGACGACTTCTCCCTCCCTCAACATTTCTCGTCTTTTCCTTAACCTCTTCTTACTACATTTTCTTTCCCATTCTGCAAAAGGGTTGTCACTAATTTCATGGAGAAGACAGATCAGAGAGAAACTAGAGACTTCATGAACGTTGAATCGTTCTCTCAATTGCCCTTCATTCGTCCGGCACCCGTTAAAGAAAAGGCCATTAGGTTATTTGGTAAAGAATTTGGAGGAGGTGACTCAATTCCTTCTGATCCTCACGAAGAACCGGAGCTGTTTACCGAGACCGGTACTCGTGAAGAGACCAAAGACAGCGATAATAATGGCGAAAGCAGCCGGAAATTTGAATGCCATTACTGTTGCAGAAACTTTCCTACTTCACAAGCCCTTGGAGGTCATCAAAATGCCCATAAAAGAGAGCGTCAACATGCTAAAAGGTTACACCTTCAATCTGCTATGGTGCACAGTGCTGTATCTGATCACTCTCACCTCTATGGTCTAATGAGTTATCCACTTGGTTCAGCCGCAAGTACACCAGCTTACAATTCATGGACTAATTACAACAGCAGCAATTCTTACAGTAACGGGTTTTATGGTCGCCATGGATTTAGTTACTCTAGACCACCTATTAATGGTAGACCATTGGCCTTGTGGCGAATCCCATCTGTCCATACTTCCACTGCCTTTAGGCGCGACCATTCATCAACTCATCAGCTACCGCTGTTTTCTAAGGACGATTTGAAGCTATCGTCAATCAATGGCTCTGATTCTCAAAGCAGATTCGTGTACGAATCAAAGCCAAGCATGCAAGATCATGTAAGTTTGGATTTACGCCTTTAACATTCTTGAGGAACAGCACATAACATTCTCTGAGGCCGGCTATGATTTTTATTCGACCGAGTTTTTTTTTTATAATTAATGCGGAAAAAAAAATCTTTCTTCATAGTATCAGTAGCATGTAAATGAAATCGACTTTAATTAGTATGGTTCTGATGTTATAGCTTGCAGATGCAACTTGACTCCTCACAAATTGTTCATTTTATTAGTATTTCAGTACATTTGTACTCTTACGAGACTTAATTTCCACCATTTGAAACTGATATTTTCTGGGGTAGTTGCAGGTAAAAGAACAGCTAGCATTTGTTCAAATTTTTGAGAGATGAATTGGGGAATTAATGGGGACAGATTTTTGTTAATTGCATGCATATGTAACTATCAAACTTTAAATGATGTGGAACATCTATCTTTAAGAATATTTGAAGTGGGAAGTCTAATGAAGGTGGCATATTTAAGTCCACTTGTTGAAAGAAACTAAAATGATGATACAATGGTCACCACTTGCAGAATTAGTCTGCAACTCATTCAGGTTGCTGTCTTTTGGGACCCCATAATTTCAACTATGTAAAATTTCTTGACCTTTTGGTTTTCTCTACCAGATATTAGTTCCGATTGGTAGTAAAGTAATTTTTTAAATGCTATCAAGGTTTTTTACCCGACAAATCTTGAATCCTCATCATGATCAAACTCCCATTTAACTCATAGGCAAACATAATCAATAAACTTCACAGGATAACACGTCAAAAGAAGTAATTAGCCTAATCATTTTTCTTAAACACCTAGAAGAAAACAAATTTTACTTTTGGAGGAAAAGACAGAATTAAAGAAATTATTGGTAGTAAATTTTGGCAGAAACCTAGTTTTATAAGATGACAATCATGCGAAACCTCACACTATTTCTAGTGAACCTAAGAAATTAGTTGTACCAAATAGATGTTAAAAGCTAGTCACATGCAAGAATTAAATGGTCAAGTCATTTGATATTCTTCCACCTCTCTAAATATCTAAAATTTACCATAGATAACTTGCAGTGATATTTGTAGAATAAGTTTGATACTCATTTAATGAATTCTCATATTTGATAATCAAGTTAGCGTTGACTATCAAAAATATGAGTTGGGTACATTTTGTAGAGTGTTGTTAATATATGATATTTAAAGAAATAACTGATAATATCTTTTTATTAGAGTCGGATACTATTATTTCTGAACAATGAATAAATGTATGGGATGATTCTCCTTTTGTGAATCATAACCCTTAATTTTTTAGCAACGTACGTTTCAAAATGTGATTTGAAACGTACTCATTCTTCCACTACTCAACTTTTAGTAAGATTTCTTGGTGACCATTCTTTTTACCTTATGAAGTTGTTTAATGGATTGACGTAGTTATATTTTCGTATTATGTTAGTCAAATTGAATATAAACATTATATTTATTTCACTAAATAGTAAATAATTATTATAACCTAAATATATAATTCTTGTTTCATATCCTATAAAATTTATTAAAATGAAAAACATTTTAATTTAAATTGCAATTAATTTAGTATATATATCATATTACTTAAAACCCATTTATTTAAATCATACCTATTATGTGTCATTTCTATTATATCATTTAACACGTCGATACATATTTGTCACTTCGTATAAATATAGGTTAAAGTTAGATTTTTTTTTTGGGCAAATTACATAGACCTTCCCTGAGCCTTTTTAACTCTTCAAACTAAATCAGCAATAAACTATTTTTAAAACTAACGATTATTTAAAATACATCAATAGAAACTCTGATTTGAGTCTCTAAAATACATTTACATATAGTAAAGTTATTAATACGATTCATTTCAGTTTGCCAATCAAAAGACACCATAGTATCCTAATAAAAATAAAATATTTAATATTTGATTTTGATTATATATAAATCTGACGCTCTATACATAATATTTATGAAATAAGGCATATATAATTTTCATTTAAAATTCACTTTAATAGATCATTAAACAACTTCATTTTTTTTCCAACTCTGAATAAAAACTAGTTATAAATTGTAAACGTATGAATATTTAGAAAATAAAATCATGTTATTTATCATCCCTCAAAGGAAAAGGCATTTCCCTCACAGCTATTAAATTTTCGAGTACTCGTTTTGTGTTCTTGAATTGAATAATTAAAATCATTTAAATATTGAAGTATTTTTTGTTCTGATGTACTATATTATGAAATCTAAAATTTACCATTTAGATCACATCATTCACTTTATGATTTTGGAGACATCGAAAGGGTAAGTCTGAGGATGAAAGTATTCATCGAATTTTAGGACAGCTCTGATGATGCGTACTTTGAAAGACACCAGACTCTTCAGACAATAATTAATGATGATATGTCATTTCTTTTCTTTTCGAAAAACTATGGCATGTTAAACGTTTACATACGGCATTGTTTGTCTCCCATTATTTCAAAATATTATTTGTTATAGTAATATTCTTCACCACACATTCACTCAATAAAATATTCTACACACAAATCAACAAAGTTACTTTAAATTTCAATCATGCATTCTCCACAAAATACAATTCATTACTCAATTTCTTCTACAATAATGGAAGACAAACACACACGTAATAACTTGTACATTTTAAATTATCGAATATTTAGGTACACATGCAGAATTACACAATTAAAAGTAATAAGTCACTTTTTAATTATTTTTAAATTGTTAGATCAAATAAGTAAATTTATCTTAAATTTGAATACCACAATCAATAATTAAAGGAATTAAAAACACCAAAGATGATCACGGAGAAATTTCAATTGGATAAAAACTCCGAGCACTTTGTCAATCAGTAATCCACTATAAATCGAAACAAATTTACAGTACTGCCTTTGGGTCTACCCTTTAGAACTTTTTATCTCAATTCCTACCGTCTTCCTCGATCCTACTGGAGATCCGCTCAATCAAAACAAATCTCGGCTCCTAATTTATACATTAACCCTCCTAGACTTTGTTTTCCTGATGCCAAATTCCGACTCATGTTATCTTGTCTTAGTCTTTCTGAATCCGTGCTTCTACAACAGCTCCCGATCCTTGGTATCGATTTATTTCCATTGGATTAGGTGTTTCGGTGTTTGATCTAACGATTTTGCATATGTTTGATCTTGTGGTTTTAAACAATATGATTTGATCAATAAAATATGTTTTGGAAAAAATTATAGCTCTAGTAATGTGTGGTGGTTGAATTTTAGAATCAATTTTGGTGCTCGACCCGTCACTCGAGCACCAAGCCAACGACAAGTGAGCAGCAGCTGAGCAGTCGTTAGTATTTTTATCATAACCATCTCTCCCGATATCTGATTGAGATGATTCAAAGTGCGTTGGAAAACTAACTCAAAATTATACAATTATTCTAAAGTAGTTTTATCCAAATTCCAATGTTTTTTTATGTGAAAAATGCGTTGCAAGTAGCAACTGAAAATTTGGAAAATAACTTGTGCGATTCTTTGACACTCTCTGAACTTCTAAATTCATTCCAATGATCATATATGATTTTCTTGGACTCTTTCAAGGACTATACTACCAACCCAACTCTTTTGACTTTAATTAGGCTTCTATAACTCCTATTTTGATTTTGATTACAACTCTATAAACTTCTAATACAATTATAGAAATTGACAATTATAATTTGGACTTAACATAACTAAATAAGTTTTAAAATAAATAATTTTTACTTAAAAATACATTATTCAAACACGTTAAAAATTAAATGTTAACTTGTGTTTAAGATTAGTCAAAAAGGCCCCTAATATTGGAGAGATTATTGAACTTTTCTGGAAATCATCTGAATAAATAAATAAATACTGAGGAGAAATAGTCCTAAAATTTACTAGCAAAATTGTTAGGAGGGAAACAAACAAAACGCTGGCCCCGAACCCTAAGTAGAGCGAGAGCCTTCGACACTTCTTTAGGCTTTGACGTAAATTAGGATCAACAATAATTTCAGTGTAAGTCCCTATTTGATGTAGGTTACAATTAATTTTAGCCACATATTTTATGAGATCCTCAATTTTTATCAACTTTTAATCATATATTTCAGTAGCTTTTATTAAAACTTACTAAAATTCTAATTTTTATCTACATCAAAAAGGACTAAATAGGAGAACCCTATTGAAATAATTTTAGATTAAACTTCTGGCCCTAGATATGTGCTAGACTATCTATGAGGCCCATCCATTTTGAGGCCCAAATGAATACAGAGACCAAATTGAAAGGCCCGACAAAATGATCTAAACAAAACTAAAAACAGCCCATTCAAAACCCTAACTACTCATCTCCCGTATAAAATCCCCTCTTCCCAGTAGGGTTTCATTTTCTCTCGTCACACACACAACCACAGAGCGAGCTAAAACAATTAAAAATGCCGGCCGGACATGGTTTGAGATCACGCACTAGGGATCTGTTTGCTCGGCCGTTCAGGAAGAAGGGTCCTACCCCTCTCTCGATCTACCTCCGTACCTACAAGATCGGAGACTATGTGGATGTCAAGGTGAACGGATCGATCCACAAAGGCATGCCGCACAAATTCTACCATGGCCGCACTGGCCGCGTCTGGAATGTGACTAAACGCGCCATTGGCGTTGAAGTCAACAAACAGGTTCGAAAGATAAAACCTAATGCATCTCATATGTCTGTGTGTTTTCTTTATTAATTTGTGAGAGATTGATGGAAACGTTGACAGCAAGGTGCTTTCCTGATAATCAATTTTATCTACATTTAAATGTGTTTATTGATATGTTGGTTTATATATGTGTATCTGTTTCTGTTGTGTATTGGCTTTTCACCAGTTACTATTTAACTCCATTCTGATTTGGAAAAATTTTCTTTTACGTATTTTTCTTGTACTTTGTATTATAGTTCTACCATATACTTATTAATGTAAATGCTTTTTTGTTACTAATTGTTTCTTTATTCAATTTCGGGGTTTATTGAATTAGTGAATTTGTTTAG